GACTTAACTTGTAGTGAGACGAGATGGACATTAGACAAGTAAGTGGATGCTGTAGGCTGTCTAATGGCTGAAGGTGCTAAGGAGAAAAATAAAGCAGGAAGGGGAATGGGCTAATGGGGGGGGTGAGTATTAAAGTTCAAGTGGAATGACAGGCAAGAATGGCTGAGAAGAAAATATCTGAGCAAAGGTCTAAAGGAGTGGGGAGGACTAGATGTGGATATTTGCAGGAAGAGGATTCCAGGCAGAGGGAATAATAAACACACAGGCTTGAACATGCACCAGACAGAATTCTTGTCAAAGCATAACATCTTCCTTGTTCTACCAAAGTAAGTATCACATAGGATAAAACTCTGCTCTAATAAGAGTAGCCAGCAACATATGTGTCCGGCACTGATACCTCAGTTCATTCCGCTCAGCCACAATTTGATGGTATAAAATGCCTTGGGATTTGGTTCATGTGTCCCATCCATTTTATGCAGCTTTCTAACTGTTTTTATGTTATACTGGTGATACAGAAACACTTCGTTGTTGGAAAGATGCAAACAAGACAAAAATTTATCCAGTAAAATGTGCAAGTTCCCCCATCCAACTTCCCCTGTTCTATTTCCCATCCACCTACTTATCTCCTCACCCCTGAAGAAAACACTGTTAATTGTTTGACATACACTCATAAGTCCTTTATCCGTGTATTTACATACATATATGTACATATGAAAACAGTTTCTTTTCAGGAATGGGACTTAACAATGTGTGGAAGATACAGCTAAGTTAATACAGAAAAATATCTATCTCATTCTTTAATGTCAGTGTGGTATTCCATGGTATAAATGTATTATAAATTATTTAAACTTCCCATTGATGGACTTTAAAAATTATTTTGATTAATATTCTGTACTCAAATCATGGAGAACATATGTGTTTTTCCAGGATAGACATCCAGAATTTGGAGAAGAATATAGGAGGGTTTAAACAAAATTTTTTCATAACATGTTTATTGAGATTTAATTCATATACTATACCATTCACCCATTTAAAGTACACAATTCAGTGGTTTTAGTATATGGTGCAGTCATTACCACAATCAATTTTAAAACACTTTCAACACCCTAAAAACAAATCTCCTATCTTTAGCTATCACTCCTCAATCCTCCCATCCTTTTCAGATGTAGGGACCCATTCATCTACTTCTGTTTCTATGAAATTGCCTATTCTGGATACTTCAGATAAATGGAATTATTCAATTTGTGGTCATTTGTACCTGGAATCTTTCACTTGGCCTAACGTTTTCAAGGTCCATCCACATTGCTGCATGCATCACTACTTCATTCCTTTTTATGGGTGAGTACTATTTCCTTGTATGGATATACTAGAGTGTATTTATCTGTTCATCACTTGATGGATATTTGGGTTGTAATTTGAGTTCTATCTCTAAGTATTCTGTTTTTCTTGGTCAGTCTAGCTATGTCAACTTCACCAATCTTTTCAAAGAACCACCTTTTTATTTTGTTGATTTTCTCCATTGTTTATATATTCTCTATGTCATCGATTTCCATTCTAATTCATTATTTCCTTCCATCCACTTGTTTTAAATGTAGCTTGCTCTTCTTTTTCCAGTGTCTTAAGGTGGATGTTTAGGTTATTGATTAGAGATATTTCTTCTTTTTTAATATAGGTATTTACAGCTAAAATTTTTTCTCTAAGTACTTCTTTAGCTGCATCCCATAAATTTTTGTGTTATATGTCTTTATTTTCATTCACCTCAATGCATTTTCTACTAATTTTTGTGATTCTTCATTGATTGATTAGTTATTTAGGAGTATGCTGTTTAACTTCCACATCCTTATGACTTTCCCAAGTTCCTCTCTGTGTTTTGATTTCTAATTTCATTCTATTATAGTTGGGGTGCATACTTTGTATGACTGCAATCCTTTTAAATTTTTTGAGGCTTCATATGTGGTTTTTAGAAACACTTTTCATCGATATTGTCAAACAGCCCTCCCAAACAAGTACATAACTTCTCATTATATGATTGTTCAAAATATCCGACGGTTTTATAGAAAACCAAAGTAAAAATAAAATATCTTTTATAATTTCCTTTCTGAATTTAGTTGATTTATCATTAAAATTAACTGAAAGCTCTAAAATGGGACTTGGATCACCCCAAGCATCCCCCATGGATGGAGAAGAGAAAAGGACATGTATGGTGATACAGGTAAGGAGGATCTAAAGTCCAGAGACACAGAGTTTGTGACAGGATATGGGGCCCAAATGTCTATCAAGGGTCACTTAGGCAATGCCATTGCAAATATCAGCACGTGATCCTGCCTCTCTGGGAAAGGCCATAGTGATCCACTTCCACTAGGGGGAGTATTTGGAAATCTTTTTCATACATCTGCCTCCTCACATCCTCACCCCCCACACTTCCTACCCACCCCCTGTTCCTGCATTATTTAATAGGATTCATAAATCTGGTCTAACAAGAGGCATCATTCAACATATTCTACCCCTAATAAAAATTCAAAAGGATAGTTCTGGAAGGGACACTTTGTGGGCAGCTTTAGACAAACAGAAATACTTACTAACCCTTGTGGAAAAAATTATAGCAGGTTACAAGAGCGAGGAAGCCAGGGTAATTTGGAAACAATGTATGTGCCTCAGGAACAGACTTAACTAATAGAAGATCCTTGACTTTGTTGGTAATCATTGCAAGAGATTTCCATAATGAAGTAGGTGAAATGCTCCCATGCTTGGAATTTTATCCAGAATTGTTTTAACATGTTGCCTTTCCTTTACTAGTATTCTAGACTCACAACACAGAGTTTCTCTACAATACTAGGAACATTTATATGGAATTCAGGATTGTTGAGGCTAATTTAGGACACCTTCCAAAGGGGTCAGTTACTGCAAGTATCAGAAGGATCTTGGTATCCACCTCACCCATACCACAGTAACATAGCCTCTAACAAAAAAGGGTTTCTATCACTTTCTGCTTAGTTGTTCGTCTACACACACACACACACACACACACACACACACACACACACATTACTTTCAGAGCTTTCCCTGAAAGCATGCATGAGGTCCTACTTGACCTATTTATATGGCTAGAGCAATCTGTTAGGTTGGGTTCTCTGGCAGCCTTCCTTGGTTTTTTGTAGTTAAGTCCATCTGTTTTTGCTACCATTTAGTATTTAACATTAGTATGACTTGGAAATAGAAGTTCAAAACCTAGTCTAGGCGTCATACTTATATCCAGAGACACATACCCTTTCTTTGGCTTTCTTGTAATCCTTCTATAGGTGATAGGCTTTGCTGGGTACAGCTTGAGACTAATCTATCATTGTTTTCGGGCAGTTTCTGTGTCTCATTAGTCAGGGAAATTGAGAACCAGCTAGATTTGTAAAACAAAGTCTGTTGGCTTCAAATTTGTCTTGCATTTGTCCCACACTGGAGGACGTTAGCAAGATGGCATTGGTAACAGATCAACTATTGTACCCAAGAGCCTAATGGCTTAGCTGCATGCCATGATAACTGGCATGTTCTGCAGTACACTGACTGGGGCAAGGCAAAATGCTGTCTGGCTGGGACAGACAGGGCCCCCACCCCTGGAGAATAAACACACTTGCTGGGTTTTTGTTGGAAGAGAATTCTTCAAACAGGGGGAGAGGGTCATGATGAGTTGCAGGCATAATGCCACATAGGGTCCCACACCTCAGCTCATAATTCCCACAGCTGGTTACAGATGGATGTTTTGAGGATAGAAGCCATGAGACAAAGTGGCTGCTTGGATCATTCCTTCTTACGAGCTCATCCTGTGCAGAAAGTGAGAGAAAACCTTATGCAAACCTCCAACTTCAGACCCAACAACCACACAGGTATTCAGAAGCAAGGGCAGCCTGCACCAGGGACCACAGCCATACTGCATGAGCTTCTCGTCCATCCCTCCCACTTTCTCAGCCCTTGGAGCAGAACATCCTATAGAGAGCGGCACCTGGAGATAACCTGTAGATTACCATGCTTTGTGACAAACAGAGGTTTAGCATCCAGGGTCTGAGACTGAGCCCTAAGCCAAGTCCAGCACATCCACCTTACTGAGCTTCCATCTGTCCAAGCCACTCCCTCTCTGGTCACTTCCAGGACTCTAGCCATCATTTAGATCCTCCTTGTTGACCTCCTTCAGCGACTCTTGCTCCTTCCACTGCCGTACTACTCTTTGAGCGCTTCCTGGTGCCCTGTAACTTTACACTTTCTTCAGCCCTATGCACAGACCATCAGAATGTGAAATTCATAGGATATGGGATGAGGCAGACCTGGATTTGACTTTTTGCCTATTTGCCATGGCAGCTCAAACAAGATGCTTTACTTCTCATCTTTGCAATCCTTACAGGATGGCTGGAAGAATTAGCTTACCCTTCATTCACCAAATGTCCCTTAAACAGCCTAAAGTAGGAGAACAAGAAAGCATAGTCCCTGGCATGGAGGAAGTACGTGATAAATAGGAAGTATGCTTATGATGGTGAATATGATAATACAGAAAAAGGTAGTATTACACACAGTCTGACCTGGGTCCCACACTCTCAGCCACTTCTTTCTGAGCTCGATAAATACGGACCCATTCACTGTTGCTTCTGTGACTTTTGCTGGGCCTCTCATTGCTAGTCCATTCTTGGCGGGGCTCTTGCAAAGTTCTCAGGCTGTAGTCGTGTCTTTTTCCCTGGCTAATGTAATCATCTGCGAGAATGTGAATGCCTCCACAAGCTTCACGTTATCAAGTGACTCTCACTAGATCAGTTCCTGTCCTGAGGTGATGCTGGACGACACCCTGAGCAGTCTCCACCTGCCATATGGTGTGGCGAATGTCATGAGGTCCTTGCTTCCTTCATTTCAGGCCAGCTTGCCAGGAACCTGATGCCACCTCTTGACACACAACACCAATGGCTTAACTGTACTCAGGCCTTCAAAAGCAGCTACTGTGAATGTGCTAACCTCACGGATTCTCTGAACTCTCCACAATCTCAAAGAGCTTGGGTTTCCCAAGTTCATCCTTGTAAGTACAGCTCTCTAGTCTTGTGTTCATTGTGCTGGTTTTGACTTCTAGTTCCTGGAATTGGTTCTAAGTTAATAAGAGTGTTCTTAGTACAACTGCCAAGTGATGATCCCCTCAGTATTTGTAGTTAGTAAGCCCCAGCTAATAATCTTACAACTTGAAGAAGGCTGTTTATAATTATTTATGAGTATTTTGTCTATCTTAACCACTTTACAGAAAACTAAATACTAATTGTGTGTGTGTATGTGTTTTGCTTGTTGTACAGCTTATTCATGTCATTAAGCAACAGCTCCCACAAAATGGGTGTCTAGAAGGCATTGTCTTTCTTTAGCTTAATATATTGTCTAATTTATTAACCACACGTATGGTTGATTGGTCAAATTAGTTGCTTTACATAAGAGTCCTTGTATAATGAGATTTTCATTTAATTTCTTTTTCTTGGTCACATCTTTAAGGTTAGGTAAGCAACAATACAATTTATCCTTAACTTCTTGTAACTTTCATTTACTATAAATTGCCTCATTAGCCACTGTGATATTTTTTCCTAGGGTTGCACCTACAAGTCCCTAAAGAGAGTGGCAAGAGCACATAGTAGAAGGCTGAGAAGAAATAATGAGTTCTTGTGCCACATGGGGTAAGCCTGGTGTTGCCAGGGCTTCTGATTTTTCAGAAATTAATAAAACAGACACTAGAGACCAAAAAAAAAAATTAATGGACCAGACTCATTTTATGGAATGACAGTCTACAACCCCTGATTTATTGTCTTAGATGAGTGTTCTAATATTCTTTACATAATGAAGGCCAAGGTACTTTGATACTGAGATCTATGCTGTCAGAGACCGAGGACATTTCATTATGCAGAGAATAGTAATTATTTTCATTTGATAACTTCAAATATAGTTTAGAATTTATAGAGTGTCACTGGTTGATCTGTCAACCTTTCTGTCATGCCTGGAGTATGAGTGTGTGTGTGTGTGTGTGTGTGTGTGTGTGTGTGTGTGTAAATGATCGTCTTCGGTTCTCTAGGCATTTTATTATTAGCATAATGTATATGTATCTGTAGGACTTTATTTCTACATTCAATTAATATATCAGGGGCTTTTCTTAATTAAAGCCATGGAGATCACAGAATTCTGAATCTTCTCTCAAAATCTTCCAAACTTTGGTTAAAGAAATATCTGACTAACATTCTGGTTGACAGATGCACAGGTCTGTTGCTGAATACTTGATAAAGATCTCTCCCTATGGTTGGCATACCATGTTCCCCTGACTTCCATAGTGTTAAATGTTACAAGAATCTAAATTCTCCATTTCCATAATCATTTGTTTCCTTATAGTTTCTTGATGTGCTCTTAATTTTTTGTGTCCCCCCTAGGAAAAAAGAAACCATGGCCACTATGAACTAGCCCCAGTCTTTAGTGGTTTATAACATGCACAAGGGAAACTGAGAGCATCTTAATAGACTCACACTGAAATAAATGTGCATAGAGGGGGAGAATGGAAAGGGAAAGCAAAAGGGAAGGAAAAAGAAGACTTCAATCTTTATAGAAACTTTATGTCATCTTTGGCAAATACAACTGGAACTTCTGCCTGGAGAACAACTGGAGGAATGTACACTTACCCAAAAAACCTCTAGCCCTCCCTGGTAGCCTTTACCCTCACAGGCTGTAGATAGTTTACTTAATGTTTCAAAAACATACTTCCTTTTTCAAAAGTCCGGGTTAATTCTTAGATAAACCAGAAGAAATCTGATCTATCTCTGAGCAAAGATTTTGCTTATATTGTCCCAGCAGGATATTTTCCTGTTCCATTAAATTTCAGGTTCTTTATCTTTGGCTGATTTTTTTCAATAGATTTGCCAGTTTCAAAATTCAACAGAGGACTAAAATGGCTGTAGCATTCACTGGGATCTTTATACTTGGATCATGAGATGATGGATCTGGCATACACCACTCAGAAGCCCCTTTCAGGACCAAGGTACTCATTTCCTCAGCTGTCATGATTGTTGACTGCTAATGGTTCACAGCTGGGTCTCAGGTCAGTATTTGTGGAGAAAGGAAGCTGAGATCCAGTGACTGGTTCCAGTGGCCTCCTCACCTCAATCTGGGAAATCTCTGAAGCACCATTACAGTACCAAAGATGCCAGTGAGACCAGCTAAGACCTCTATTGCAACCACATGGTGGTTCATTTCTCCTTTCCACAGCCCTGCTTCTCTCATTTCCTCTGCAAACTTCCTGCATACAAATCTCTACCTCAGAGGCTATTTTCTGGGGAATTGATTAAAAACAAATATAAAAGAGAGTTGATGCCAACAGTGGTTCTAGGAAGCAGACTCTAAATTGGAATTTTTGAACTAGATTATCTGCCAGCAAGCTAGGCATGGAGAACCCCATCACTAGTGGTAGGTAGAGTATTAATAGCCCCTGGTGTGTTATACCATCACACCAGTAGAGAGATGGAACGGGACACGAGCTAAAGAGAGTGCACTTGTTGGTGGAATACCTGAGGATAGTCTGAGAAGTATGGGAAAAGAAGTAACCAGGAAGAATATGAAACTCGATGGCTGTTCTGGTCTTACTGGTATATTGGATAGAGACAGCAAAATCCTGAGGAGATTAATCTCCAACATAAGACCAAATATAAATGTTAGAAGGTCTTATTGGCAGCACAGAAAGACACTCAACTCTAGCAGCTGAAGGGCAGAACAATCTGAGAACCAGGCCCAGTACTCAGTTATAAGAGCAAGAGAGCTCAAGAGAAGGTTGAATTCTCAACCCCCATCAGTCTGCTTCATAAAGATCAATTTCTAAACTTGAGCCTGTAACTTAGATTCAAACTCAGTGACAGGAAGAGAAGCCATGTTCTAATAAGAAAGGACCTGACGCACCATAGCAAGAATGTACAGGAATGAGCCTTCCAATCAGGAGGGAACACTATCCTCTTCTTGGGTAACCATATACTGGGGCAGGGGCATGATCAAATGTTTTGAGGACACTTTGACAAAGGTTCTATGTAAACTCTGATAGCCAAGGACTAAAAGCATCATCATAGCCCTTGTTAGAGTTGTGATGTCTGAGTGCCAGGTAATGAATGGTGTCATGTCCCATATCTGGTTCACAAAGGGTCCAGTTGGTGGCCATGTCTCCATTCAGTAAATGTATATTCTGGAGGATCATGTTTAGCAGTTAGCAGAAACCCTACATTGTTTCCTTGGCTTATGGTGAAATAGCTATTATAATGGGGAAGGCAAAGTAGAAACTGATGAATGCCCCTTACTCTATTCAAGAGAGTAAATAAAAAAGACTTTTGCATCATTGAGTAGAATGCCAACAATTAGTGTTACCCTTAAATACTTAGTGTGGCGGTCACCTTCTTATCCCTGTTTAATTCATCAGTCTGGCCACTAGAAAAAGCAGGTGGATCCTAGCAGATGAGAATGGACTTCCCCTAACTCAACCAAGCATTAGCCCCAATTGTACAGGCTACCTAGATTTGGTATTTCTGCTCAAATAGATCAACATGGCCTCAGGAACATAATCGGGCAGATGCATTCTTTCTCATTCCTATCAAGAAGGAGGATCAGAAGCAATTCCCTTTCAAGCAGGAAGGACAATATTTAAGGTCTTGCCTCAGGGTTCTGTCAGTTCTGCAACCCTCTGTCATAATATGGTGTGAAGGTACATTCCACAGAATATCACGATGGCATTGGATTTGAGGGCCATTGTAAAACATTTGCTCCTGAGTGTGGCAGATAAACTCTCTGAAGATTTGCATTTCCTCCACATCAGAGAAGTTTTTAAGAGTCCAGAGGTCCAGGACATGCTTAGACATTCCTCTAAAGTAAAGGACAGATTGTTGCATCTTACCCCTCCTGCCACTAAGAAGGAAGCACAGGTTCTAGAAGCAGCATATCTCACACCTGAGAACACTGCTCTAATCCATTTACTGAGCAACACAAGGCTGAGAGCCTCAGGTGGAAGCCAAAGCAGCAAGTACAAGCCATGGTAGAATCAGCCCTGTAAAATAAAATCCATAGACATGATAGTACTAGAGGCATCTGTGGCAAAAGGATACATTCTGTGGCAGTTACAGTCATCCCCCACAGGAAAATCACAATGTAGACTGCTACGAGTCTGGAGTACGGTCATGCCATCTGAAGTGTGGAACTGTACACGCCATTCAAAATACAGCTCTTACTATGCTACAAGACCCTGGAAGAGACTGAGCTTCAGACCTGGGCCATGAGCGACCATGAAGCCACAGCCGTCCATTCTAGCTGGGTTCTGTCTACCGAGCCATAGGTCATAAAGTCACAATAGTGCCCATCTTAAGTTGCAAATGGCGCATCCACAATCAGAAATGAGCAAGGCCAGAGACCCAAGTAAGCTGCACAATCAAGTAGCCCAGATTACCATGTCATCAAACACTATTTCACTAGCTTCTCTCCTTTAGCTCACATCTATGCTGTATGGGAGACCTTCAGACCATATGAAGCAGGGAAAGATGGGTTATTCATAGATGAGTCAGTTTGGGATGCAGATACCCACTGAAAATGGACTCTTACTGTACCACAGTCTTACTCAAGAATGGACCAGAGAAAGGGCAGTGAAGAAAAATCCTGCTAATGGGTGGAGTTTGGGGCAATGCATCTAGCCATCAACTCTGTGTAGAAAGAGAAATAGTTGAGGAAAAAATAGAGGTGGATTATTGGGCAGTGGTGAGTGGTTTCGCTGGTTGTTCAGGAGTCTGGAAGGAATAATACTGAAAGATCAAGAAGAAGCTGTGGGAAAACAGCATGGGGGTGGGCCTATGGGAACAGGCACAAAGGGTGGAGATCTTTATCTTGCCTGCTAACACTTTCCCGAGAGCACCCACCCAGAAGAGTGCCTGTCACAGTTCTAGGCAGAGAATACGTGCCCAGCGAAGATATATTAATTAGGAAATAACAGATAATGGTCCTTGTCCCCAGCAGACTACAAAGAATAAAAATAACTGTGTGAACCATAGAGATATAAAACCACCCCAAAATTCTCATTTGAGATATTTTTTTTTTAAAATATGCACAACCAGAAGAAAGAAAAATACACAACCAGAGGCAAAAATGAGATAGGAAAGCCACATCATATGACAGCCCAATCTTATATTCTGTACCACGTAACTATCATTAGGGCATGATGAGGAGAATATCTTGACCTGGGGTCAGTAAATGAGCCTCAGCACTGCAAGGAAAATTTTGTGACACTGTGTGGATTCCTTTCTTTCCAGCTATTTTCTGGCTTTTTCTTCCAAAATTTTTTTAAAGACAACTGATACATTTTACCTTCTGTAAGATTTAAACTTATTCTCATGTAAGAAACATGCAGCTGAAAAAAAATAAAATAACCCCAATATCTTAATGATTTTTATCTTTTTTAGCTTGGGATGAATTTTTAGAATCCAACAGCTCGAGGTTTGCTCTATCTAGTTTTAAAGAATTTTGGCTAAAGTTTAATAGTTTTATAAACTTCAACTCTGTTTCTTCCCACTCTATGTAATTCAAATATAACTGTCAGATTATTCCTATTTAAAAAGTTAAAATACTTTCTTCTAGTTTATGTAATTCATAATAATTACACTTTTCTTTACATTTTACCGTATTTTTAAGTCATTCTGACATGACCATACGATACTGTTAAAATAAGAAAAGTGCTATTTAAAAATATAATCTCCTTGGGGGGCGCCTGGGTGGCTCAGTTGGTTAAACGACTGCCTTCGGCTCAGGTCATGATCCTGGAGTCCCTGGATCGAGTCCCACATTGGGCTCCCTGCTCGGC